CACTTTTTCCCTTTTTCTTTTGTAGGACCCCAACCAAGAGTCTTCTTCTGAGGCTATTCTTAAGTGATTTGTGATTACTGTTTCCTGAAAGTCTTTTCTTTGATTTCTGTGAGATTCGGAAGGATTGAGGTCCCTCAATTTTCCCACCGTCATCATAAAACACCAATACCAAAAATGCTTACCTTTCATCAAACTTGACAGCCCCTTCCTGCCCCCACAGCTCAGTGAAATCCCCCAACAACTTAAAGGGAAGCATGCCCCTCCTTGCAGTTGCCTAGGCTGGGAGTACAGATAGGGCTCTTGGCTTTGTGGAAATTTATGTCTTTCCAGAGAAGTCGACATTACTTCCATCAACGTCAAAGATGCAGCTGATTAATTGCAGGCATGCTGCAGTTTCTCATGCCAAATGCTAAGTATTCAATGCAGCCTGACGACCCAGAGGACATGTGAAGAGCTTGTTGGAGCCAATAAATGTAGTTAATTAAAAAAAAAAAAAAAATCAATGCCAATTTCTCCAACACCTCCTCTTTTACAAAGGGAATCTATTTTCTTCTCTTGACCAACACAGGGTGGGAAGGATTCAAGCAGCACTGCCTCCCTCTTCTGACCCTTTAGGTTCTCTCCAGTGACAGAGTCCCAGGAAAATGTCAGCGTTCTCGGGCACGACAAACACACCACCACCACCTCTGTTTTGCTTCCCCGCTCCCCGGGCAGCTGGGCAATCACACTCTGCTTCTCTCCACCCAACTGAGACCACTTTCTCTAAGTCAAAAGGGCACTTCACACCTGGTGGCTAACTACAAGTGTTTCTCCAATTAAAAAGAAAAAAAATCCCCACTCAAACCACCCTCTCCACCAGCTGCCTGGCCTTTCCTTCCTTCCCTTCCCAGCTTAACTTCTTGAAAGAGTTGCTGCCATTCCGTCATCCACCCCTCACATGGCGCCCCTACCACCACGCCCCTACCCGCTTCAACCTGGCTTTGGGGGACCATAGTGTCGGGGCAACAGTTCTCACTAAGGTGCCCATGAGAAACAGTGCTCCGTCCCCATCGGGCTAAACCTCCCAAACCGGGAGCAGAAAGGACCCTTTTTTTTTTCTTTTTTTTAAATTTTTTATTTATTTATTTGTCAGAAAGGGAGAGAGAGGGAAAGAGAGCACAAGCAGGGGGAGCGGCGGGCAGAGGGAGAGGGAGAAGCAGGTTCCCCGTGGAGCAGGGAGCCCGATGCAGGACTCGAGCCCAGGACCCTGGGATTATGACCTGAGCCGAAGGCAGACACTTCACTGACTGAGCCACCCAGGCACCCCAGAAAGGACCCATTTTCTAAAGGGAGCTGCAAATAAAGGGGCAATACCCCCACCCCGAAGAGATGGGAGAACTGACTGCTCCCTGCAACCACCTCTCCCCCACATCTCCATCCCCCAACTCCCAAACTGGGAGGAGGGTAGAAGAAGGACCTCAGAGTCTTCGCGTCAGAGTCTTGGTTTAGGGAAAAGTGCTGTCGTGTGGGGGCGGGGGGGGGGAGGGAATGAAGAGACTTTGTCACAGAGACTAGGCATGCCCACAAAAAGGAGAGACTGACCCTTCATTCCCCAACTGGATACAACAACAAACATGCTGATTTGCTCTGCCCCTACCAGACCAAACGAAAGGACAACTGCAGAGAGATGTCAGGACAGAAAGAAGCCTCAACCCCCAGTTCTGCTTGCTTCACAGAACACTGACGAAGGTGACCAGTTAGAACATGTCACCAGTACCCATCCAAAAGGGCTTCCTGCCAGGACAAGGGGATCCCAGCACCAGTTACATTAGAGGCACTTAGCTGCCCCCTTTCCTTCCTCCCCACCCAACATAGGAGATTTGGTTGGAGCCCAGAAGAAGGAAAGGGAGGAGGGGTCCCAGAGGCAGACCATCCCTCCTCCCCACTTCAGGTCCCTCACACCACAAGCCTGGCCAGTGATAAGCTCAGGGAAAACCTTAAATCAAATGCCTGTGGTATTCCCAGAATATCCAAATAAGTGGCACACGATAGGCTTAATCATTATTTGTTGAATAAATGACTGAAGAGCTCCTTGTCCTTTCTGCCTCATTTTGTTCATTCACTCCAGCCACAAATATTCGTTGAAGGTTGATTCTATACAATTTAATCATGGAAAGGCGATTAAGACATGTTCCCCGCCCTCCAGAAAGTTACTAGAGAACAGAAGCAAGTACAGACTTGCATCTGTCACAAGCACTTGTGGGAACCATGGCATGGCAGCAGTACAAAGTACCAAAGACATTAACTCAAAAATCCAAACCACCCACTCAAGTATACCCTCCCAGCTTGCTCTCGTCAGTTTACATATGGAATTCTCACGTCCGCCTTTTCGGTGAACGCTGGTCTTTTATCCCTCCTGCTAAAATGCATTTACCCTTAACGTGTCAAGGGTAGTGGTTAACACACCACCATCTATGTGTGATATCCTGGAGAAAGCCAGGAAAATCCATATTCCTTGGATCTAGAATAAGCCAAAAAGATTTCAGTGCACAGCCTTGGATGAGGCCCTGGAGAAATGTCAAGGTACGTATGGCCTCACTTGGAACACCATGGTATGTGATGCAGCACAGAGTAAATGCTGTAGGTTTAGGATAAAGGTGATGCCAGTGATGTACATTTCCCCTCAGACAGCATCTTGCCCACAGAAAGATGGTCATGCATTGTGGAGAGCCAAACTACTATACCACCTATCCAGAAATCACATGGGATTTACAGGTTGTTTATTAGCAGACTCAGAATTAGCATTTAAAGTCTCCTATTTGCAGACAGCAAATCACTCTATATAATCTCTAGTTCCCTTGTAATCACTAACTTACAGTCCTTCAGCAACCATTATTGCTTCTCACATATATTTTTGACAAGAGGTTTTTTTTTAATGATCATTCTTCACCGTTATTAGAAAATAATATATGCTCAATACAAAAACAAATCTAGAAAATACAGCAAAGTTGATAGAAAAAATATCATGCAAATTTTTACCAACTCTGTTAATATTCTGGTATATTTCCATTTAACCTCTGTTTGATTTAATAGCTATTTGGAATTAATATGCCCCATAAGCCAACTCTGGTAAAAATCACCAATGAACTAGGATATAAAGTGCCATCTGTAATCTCTTCCAATTATGAACAAGGTTGGAGCTGCAGGACTATAACACAACCAGTAGATTCAACTTTAAAAGCTTAAATTCAGTGGAGAGAAAATTGATTAAGTGGGTTATTTAATAGACACATAGACCAATGGAATAGAATAGAGAGCCCAGATATGGACCCTCAAGCCTATGGTCAAGTAATTTTTGACAAAGCAGGAAAAAATATGCAATGGAAAAAAGACAGTCTCTTCAATAAATGGACAGCTATATATAGAAGAATGAAACTCGACCATACTCTTAGACCATACACAAAGATAAACTCAAAATGGATGAAAGACCTCAATGTGACACAGGAATCCATCAAAATCCTAGAGGAGAAAATAGGCAGTAACTTCTTTGATACTGGCCACAGCAACCTCTTTCAAGACATGTTCCCAAAGGCAAGGGAAACAAAAGCAAAAATGAACTTTTGGGACTTAATCAAGATACAAAGCTTCTGCACAGCAAAGGAAACAGTCAACAAAACAAAGAGGCAACCCACAGAATGGGAGAAGATTTTTGCAAATGACACTACAGACAAAGGGCTGATATCCAAAATCTATAAAGAACTTCTCAAACTCAACCCCCAAAAAACAAATAATCAAGTCAAAAAATGGGCAGAAGACATGAACAGACACTTCTCCAAAGAAGACATACGAATGGCTAACAGACACATGAAAAGACGTTCATCATCATTAGCCATCAGGGAAATTCAAATCAAAACCACACTGAGATGCCATCTTACACCAGTTAGAATGGCAAAAATTGACAAGGCAAGAAACAACAAATGTTGGAGAGGTTGTGAAGAAAGGGGAACCCTCTTACACTGTTGGTGGGAATGCAAGTTGGTATAGCCACTTTGGAAAACAGTGTGGAGGTTCCTCAAAAATTAAAAATAGAGCTACCCTATAACCCAGCAATTGCACTACTGGGTATTTACCCCAAAGACACAGATGTAGTGAAAAGAAGGGCCATATGCACCCCAATGTTCATTAGCAGCAATGTCCACAATAGTGGAAAGAGCCAAGATGCCCTTCAAAGGTGAATGGATAAAGGAGATGTGGTCCATATATTCAATGGAATATTACTCAGCCATCAGAAAGATGAATACCCACCATTTGCATCGACATGGATGGAACTGGAAAGGATTATGCTAAGTGAAATCAGTCAAGAAGAGAAAGACAATTATCATATGGTTTCACTTCTTTGTGGACCATAAGGAATAGCATGGAGGACATTAGGAGAAGGAAGGGAAAAATGAAGGGGCGGAATCGGAGGGGGAGACAAACCATGAGAGACTATGGACTCCGAGAAACAAACTGAGGGTTTTAGAGGGGAGGGGGCGGAGGGATGGGTGAGCCTGGCGATGGGTATTAAGGAGGGCACATATTGCATGGAGCACTGGGCGTTATACGCAAACAATGAATCATGGATCACCACATCAAAAACGAATGATGTACTGGATGGTGACTAACATAATAAAAAAAAAAAGTGGGTTGTTTAATGTATGTATGCAAGCTGGCACTCTTCACTTTTCTATTTGTCTTTCCATGAGCCCAGCACTTGGAGTAAGTTTGTCCAAGCTTTTGGGAAACAATCACTTCAGATATAAACCCCGTTAAACAGAAGTTCCTCTGATTGTTCAAAAAAAGGATAATTTCATGGGCAATTCTTAGAGGCCCAAAAAACCATAGTGTTAGCGGTGGGTTTTTAGACAAGTATACAATTGCCATTATTTGTCAAGATATTTAAAAAGGATTTTATTTTCATCCCAGTCTTCCATTACAGACATGCTATTCAATGACAGCTAGGATAAAAATTATGGGCTTACCTGATTAAGAAATCATGCAGTCCAACATCAAAATACCTGTCCAAAGAAGACACAGACAAGTATGTCAGTAAAAGAAATGTACAGCAATGGTGGACTTGACCAAAAATATGAAATTTACATTCAGAGCATGGTAAATCAATCAATCACTCTCTAACAGTGGCTCTCAAAGTATGACCCCTGGAGTGGCCACAGCAGCATTACCTGGGAATTTGCTGGAAATGCAAACTCTCAGGCCCTATAGCTCAGCATACTGATGCACAAATTCTGGGGGCGGGGCCCAGCAATTAGATCTGACAAGCCCTCCAGGCGATTCTGATGCAGAACCACTGCTCTATGAAAGCAAAAGTGTCTCAGCAAGACTATGCGCTCTCTCTAGAAAAAAAAAAGGCCATAAAAGTAGATTTCACCACTTTGACAACAGATGGCTGTCTCAGATGTTCCCTCGCTCAAACATAAATGAAATATTTTACAAGTACAAAACCATGCTGGCCAAAGTTAAGAACAGGGGTGGGGTGGGGAAGGGTCAGCTCTGTCCTTCCATGTCCCTCCCGGCCATAGTCCCTGGAGCTTTTAACCAGAGAGCAACCCTGTCCATAGCTGGGTTGGCCCTGGGAGGGAAGGGAGGAGAGGCGCTCCATGAACATGCTGGTGAGCCGGCCACTGTGCTTAGCCTCACACCGAGCAGCCAGTAAACACTGGGCAGTGGTGGACCCTTTCAGAGTTGGCTTCCCCTGCCACCACCAAACTGGCTTCATCCATATGAATGGCACTGCCTTGGTTTCTCTAATTAGCTCATTTATTTCCCCTAAACCTCTGACCACTTAGCCAGGGTCTTCCTCTCCCCTTTGGGTCTGGCTGTGAGCAAAAAGACTGGGTGGCTGGAACCATGATGTTGCTGCCCACCACGCATGACCACTACTCCTAATACCTAGATGGTGGTCATTGTGTCCCACCCAACAGACTGGCCTCCCGGGTTAGCGATCTGCCCAAGTAAAGCCTGAGTTAATTCTGTCCCTACAGACAATGAGCAATAGACACAGAAATTCACCCTACAGTGGGGCCTGACTGCCAAGGCCTTGACTGTCCCTAGCTCCCAGCATCACCCCTCCCCTGTCCCTGGAACATCCCAGCACGCCTGGCACCTCACCTCACCTGACATAGAGCAGATGATTACTGACATTAAAATAGGATTCCTTTGGGTACCTTTAAATGGCAAGCTTCCTTTATGTGCTCAAAATCTGTTTACTGGTCATGGACACGGGGTAGAAGAGAATAGAGCAACAAAGCCAAAATATAAGGTACCTCATTCATTGTGTCACTTACCTGAAGTCATCACATGATTCAGGGAAAATGGAATTCAAGATACATAAATTCCACTTACTCATAAGTCTTCTGAAAAGAGCTCTAAAGGGAGAGGTACCTGCAGGGTTAGCTGATTCGTTTCAGTTGATATTACATTGACCTGAGGAGATGCTAAGTACTTCCTACAATCATACTTAACACAGATTTTTGAAAAAAAATGAAAAACAGAAATGATCCCTCCTCTCAACCAAAACCACGGCTATATTCCTCGGCCACATAAGTAAATATTCATATGACAGATAGCAATTGCAAGTTCGCCGGGATCTGCAATATGGGAGATACAAGTATGTTTAGATTAGAACAAAGATTTCAGCTTCCTTCATTCATCCAAAACCTATTCAGCCTTTTCAATGACATGAGCCACAGAAAGCATCAGATTCTGTTGCTGGAATCATAGCATAAAGTAGACACAGAAAGGAATCACAGAGTACCACAATATGGGAGGGAGGAAGCCGACTCTGAGGAAGTAATGAGAAACCTAATTATATTCATAGAAATGATTACTTAGTATCTAGAAGGTGGCAACTACTATGTTCGGTGCACACATACACAAGCCACTGCAGTGAGGCTGGTACTGGCATCTCCATTCATGAGTGCAGGAACTAAAGCTCAGAGGGTAAGTAACTTGCAGTGCTCACAGCTAGTAGAAGACAAATCTGGGAGTCAAACTGGAATTGCCAAGTCAAGCCATGAATTGCTTGCTCTTCCCCCTAAAAAGCACAGGCTCTCACTGCCTCTCATTATTACTAATTGAAAATGACTGTTCATTTTAAGAACAGGTCCCTTTCCACCTGCCCTGATTTCTGCTTCTTCCAACGTGGCTGCCCTGCCCCAGGCAAGCCCACCTGCTCTGCTTCCCTGAGCACACCTGCCCCGCAGGTGCCATCCGTCCCCTTGGGTCTTAGAATCAAGTCAGGCTCTGGGAAGTTATGTAACCTCTGGGCTTCAGGTTTTCCATGGGAAAATGGAGATCCCTTACTCATGGAAGGTTATGAGAATTAGGTGATATAACATAAATACAGGGCTTAGCACAGTGCTTGGTAAACCCGTGAGTACTCAATAAATAGTAATCTCCTTCCCTCCAATTTTTAAGAGTTGTTTTAATGGAAGCCCAATTCCCAATAACTCAGTAGGAAAAGGAAGCCACATAAAAAGGAAATAAAAGGTCTCACTATGCAGCCCACGAAGAGAGGTCACTGAATCCAGGACGCGGGCAGGGCCTGAGCAGTGGAGTAAAGGGTAGTACAGCTGGAAAGCTGAGGGACAGGCACAGAGCTCAGGAAACAGGCAGGAGAGCAGGAAGACCAATTATTCCATGCAGGCCTCATAGAGAGCCTTGAAGTTGCATGCGAGAGCCAGCAGGGCATACAGGGGAGCAGGATCTGGCCACCAGGCAGGGAAGGTATCCTCCTGCCCTGGTCCTGACTGGCATCTCAGTAAGAAGGACCAGTACACACTAGTGCGTGCCCAGCTTCACCTGTCGCTGTGGTGTCCCCTAAAGTTTAGGGCCTAAATATACAGAAGTAAGGGATTGTATTTCAGAACATTTCTTCTTATGCAAACATGAGTGGTCACGAATGGAATTTGGGGCCGGGACAATGAGGGTCTTTAAGCATCTTGTGCAAGGCAAGTTTACGATGGAGAATACTATAATGAGTTAACAGTCACTTGGAAACCAGTGGAATGGAGAAGGTCACGGATGGGGATTAGCATCAGAAAACGTACCAGGAAAAACTAAGGGGAAGAAAATGGAACTTCCTCACAGGTATTTACATCTTACTCCTTTGCTACGTCAGTTCATCTGTGTGGATATTCATTCAACAGATACTTTGTCAGAGCCTTCTAAGTGCCGGGCACCGATCTAGCCCTGAGGATGGGGGCGGGGGGCGGGGGTGGAGAGTAACATAACAAGGTATTACTTCTCATGGCACTCACAGTCTAGGTGGGAGAGGTGAACAATAAATAAGCACTTAGATAAAGAAGATAACATCAGAGAGCAGAGAATGCACACAAGGTGACAGGACAGAGAGGCGGGCCACACAGCCGCTCAGGGAAGTCCTCTCTGATGAGGTGACATTTGGGTTGAAATCTGTATGGTCAGAGTGGATGAGCTACGCAAAGACCAGAGGGAGAGTGTTCCGGGCAGGAGGACAGCTGGGTAAAGCCCCGAGGTGGGAAGGAATGTGGCAGGTTGGAAGAAAGGATGAAGGCCAGCAGGACCAGGACAAGACAAGGTAGGGCAGGGGGGCCGGGACTAGATCTGAGGAGGCTGTGCAGAGGGAGTTTGGGCTTCATTTTAACATCAATGGGAAGCACTAAAGGGTCTTTAACAGGGGAACAGTATTTTTTTCATGTTTAAATTTTATTCATTTAGGGGGTGAGGGAGTGGTATGCTTTGATTTATGTATCAGAAAGAACACTCTGGTTGTCCTGAAGAGAAAGGATGGGAACAGAAGCGGGCGGGGAGCCACGGCCGTCTAGCTGAGAGGTGACGGGGACTCACCCCAGGATGGAAATGCTGGAAATGAGGGCGGAGACAGGGATGGATTCAGAGAGGATTCTGTGGTTGAGTACAAAGACTTGCTCACAGACTCATGCAGGATGGGGACACGGAAGTGAGGGAAGGAGGGAGGGAGGGAGAGAAGGAGGGAGGGGAAAAATAATCTGCAAAAGAGCTGAGTGCCTCACATCACGCAGTTTCACACCAGGCAACCCAAAGGCTCCGCCAGGCCTTGGCTGCTTCTGGAGGCTCCACAGTAATGCTTGGTGGCCCGCATCCAGACTGAGGGGATGACGATGTTCTGTGACTGGCTCAACTTGGAGAACGGCTCACCTGCTGGAAGAACTGGAAATCGTGGCAATGGTTTGGGGTCTTTTTAATGGATTTATTGTGGCAAAATCCATATAACACAAAACTTCCTCTTGAACCATCTTTTATGTGCACAGCTCAGTGGCATTAAGCACACTCACACTGTTGCGCAACCATCGCCACCATCTGTCTCCAGAACTTCCTCAACCTGCCTCACATGAAACACCGGGTTTCCTCCTGACCATGGTAAAGCTGATTTGGACTCCTTCCAAGGGGTTCAGGGGTGCCCCCTCACATAGGGCTGTGTCTTTAATTTCAAAACAGAAGCCAACCAATGCAGTCTAGAAATATTTTCTCACTCAATTTTTCTGTGTAGATGTAAAAGGCGCCTTAAGGAAATACAGTGAAAAGGGAATATGCTTTTCTTATTTTGGAATTGTATGCTGGGCTCTGGGCTAGGCCCTCTGGGTACTACCTCTTTTCGTCCTCCCCACCTGCCAGAGTAGATCCCTGCTTTATAAAGCCTCATGTCCTTATCCCCTATCACATAGCTAGTAAGTTGCTACGTCAGGATCTAGCTCAGAGTACCAAATGCCAAAGTCTTTGCTTTTTCCCTTCGTGTGTTCAGCCACCGACTCATTTCACAAATATTTACCATGTGCCAGGTAGTGGGAATTCAGTGATGCACAGCCCAGAACCCCTGCTTCAAGGAAAGTAGAGCCTAGTTAAGAGATGGCAGAGCCAACAAGATTCAATACAGTGCGAGTGATAACAAATGTTCTATCCCCCAACGGACTGCAAACTCCACGATGGCAAGAACCAGAGCCAGCCACCAAGCAGATTCTCAGTAAATACATGTTGAGCG